TCCGGTATTGCCCGCAATACATTGTGCCGTATTTTGCTATGTTAAATTTTTATTAAGCTAAAGTTGGATAACGCATTAAACTGACGCTCAGCTATGCGCAAAATACGAAAACACAAAATGTAACCTGCACGATTTAGTACAGCGAACATCATAAAATGAACATAAATGTCATAAATGAACATAATCCCGCTCCCCCAAATGCTTTTTTTTGCGGCAACCGGATAGCCAAGAGGTACTGTGAATATATTAGGAGATCGAACTTTGTTTTCGCGCAATAGGCTTAATCTCTCGTTTTAGGGCAGCGCACCCCTTCTGTACCAATCAGCGAAGTAAGCCTTCCGTATCAGAAGATGAGAGACTTCCGGGGTTGTAACATAAAGATTGGACTCCCACTGACTTGAAAACCAATCCCCTTTCATTTGTTTGATAACAAAGTGGGTCCTGGCATGTTTTGCTTCTTAGAAAATCAAGCTATCTTTAAGTATTTTTTGAGTTGGGAACTTCGGGCAACTTTACCAACGTGTGGTTGTTGTTGTTGGCAGAGCGCTATTGGGCATCTGTGTGCATTTTCACGTTTCTTTGAAAGTAGGCCCTGTTAGTTTTCACGTTCTGATTTCTTCGCATCTGAAGACAGCTACTACCGGGGCCGGACAGAAATTAATTTGTGGGATTATGAATAATCTTCGTCCAGAAGTTTGTCTTGATATGTATTAAAACGTAAGGCTTGTTTCTGTGAAAACCTTACTTCATACTTCGATTTGATCGTCCAAATTTGAAAACTGTTCAGCCAAAACAAGCCAAGCATACTGTTTGGTGAATGTGTGAAGACACAAGAAAGACAAGTTATAAAAAGTTGATGTATATTTTGTGAAGACGATCAGAATACAATTAATTTTAGGACCAGTCGTGCGGTATTGCATCAGCCGAATTCACATGCGATAGAAGCTTCGATGCTGTTTTGTATCAGACCAGCTATTCTAAGAAAGTGAGCCCGTTCTAAGGTTATTTGAAGTCAAAATATTGTGCCGATTTATCCCCATTATGCACTTGTGAAAAATTAAATGCGGTAATTTAAATTTGGCGCTAGACAACAGACAAACAGTGGAATAAAGCGTGACGTAGTACAGGTGTCGCCACGTTCATTTCAGTTTGTATTTCGAAAAAGTGCTGGTAATCCCATTAGGGGGACGGTACGAATACCAGGATTGCCGGTGGGCTGATCATTATGCGTTTTGTGCTGTGTAACAGCAGTACAAAACGCATATTGTCACGGGGTTGTTTGTGTGTCCGCAGCAACTTGTCCGCAACTTTCAACTCGGGGACCACAGAAGCTAGGAAGCTGAAAAT